TAGGGGCCTGAGACCAGGGCGGGTTCGGTTCGCTGGCAGCTCACCGGGACTTTCTGATGAAATGGGGCTGGTAGAGCGGAGACCGTGGCATGGACAGGGAGTTCCCAGATTTGGGATGACGTTATACCAGTTTGCAAGTCCGTAGTGACTTTCAGATTTTACCGGAATAATCCATACAGCTATAAACGTCTGTACAAATCTTGCGAATTATGGTGTCCAGTCAACTGTAATTCTGAAATGTTACTTTTGAGCGTTCCACAATAACTTTCCTTTAACATAAATGCATTTCAGTACCTATGCGAAAAACATTTTTCCATGTAGGTGAAAGTTGTGTTTCAAAACAGTTATTAAGGACTCATTGTGCTAAAATGGAGGGTTTCAAACTTTTCCCTTCATTAGGCCATGTTTTCTTAAAAACTTCTCGTTGGATTTGCAGCTGCCTGCCCTCCGTCTTGCAGCCCTACAGGGAAAAGGAGCATAGGGTAATGTTACACCAAGCTTTTCCAATGTCTTTGACTTCCCAATGCCCACAGCTTATTTGGTCTGCATCTCCCCCTCAGGTGTGAAGTTTAATGTTTGACAGATGTTTTGGCTTCTACTGAGCAATTAGAAGACAAGGAAGGTGGCCATTGCCACAAAATCTCTTAATTCCCCCCTTAGTTGTGAAGTCCTGGTGCTTATGGAGGGCCCTGGCCAGCATCTGGGCCGATGGGAAAGTGTCTCCGTGATGCTGCAGTCTGTGTGGGCAACGCGGGCTGCATCCCAAGGGATGCTCGTCGGTTGAGCCCTGTCCAGTTGTGCCATTTACACGGCTGCCAAGCTCATTGATGAAAACACTCCAGCTTATTTCGGTAGGAAATTGCCATTTTTGGCACTGAGATTGACTCCTCCGCTGTACCCATGCGGGCAGTCCCTTGGCACCCTCCTTTTCGCGGGACCCATGTTCATGGGATGTGGAGAGAGCATATCTGGGCAGACCTTGGCTGTGCTGCAACTTCAAAGGGGGTCCGGCTGTGAATGTAAGGACATTAGTATGCCACGCTGCTTTCTAGGACTTCTCCCCCATCATCCCCTCCCTGCCCCTGTTGGTGTAAGGGAAACAGGATAATTTCCACTGAGAGCAAAAGCCATAAATCTTGTTGCAGTTCTGCAATTTGATGGTGTCCTCTGAAACAATATGCAGCTGAAAGCCACCCCCTCCTCTTTTGGGGTGGAAGAGCTATAACCACTGAGGATGGGGTCTGGTGGGATTACAAATGCATATACTGAAGGAGCCTGAAACAGCGCGTGTGCAGCGTATGGCCGGGGCTATCCTGGTCAGCGCAAGTGGGTGCGGTACACCCCATCCTTTATTTTCATTCCAGGAAGTTACGGACCATTCTGGTTGCTTGGGTCTACTTAACTGGTGATGACACACCATAATAAGGAAAGGGAAGGAAGAGTGCCCACAGCTTTGCCCACCAATGGTGAGCATAGGGGCAACACCACCAGTGAAGGACAGCATCACGTTGTATGCCATACATCGCTTATGACATAGGCGCTGCCTGGCAGCGATGTTGCCCCTGTTGGTTTCCTCCCCATAGCTCCAAAGCTTGGTGCAGGGCACGGGAAGCTGCCTCCCTCGGACAGTGAGGGGCACACAGCCAGATGACAGCCATCAGTGGGTTTGGAGACTTATTTCTATTAAATCAAGCCTCTTCTGTGAACATCATCGTTGGTTTGTGGAGCTTAAAGCTGGAGTAGGGCCCTTTGTCCTCGAGGCTCTTGGTGTTGGTTTTTGAGGTCTCGTTGCCATTTGCACCACCCCGTGTAGGGTGCAAAGCAGGGTGTACCATGAGGGCTCCGGAAAGCCCGAACCAACTGAACCCTGGTACCAGTGACAAGGCGCCTGACTTCTGTGCAAGCAGCTGATGTGGGGGTAACAAGGTGGGCTTGGAGAAGTGGGTCTGCAGAGAGCATCCAAGGCTCGCCTCTCAGGAGAGCAAAACGGTTTGTCATGTCTATTTGCTGCTGTGAATTACATGTCCCTGATTGGATGTTTGAAAGGTTAAATATTGAAATACAGCTGGAAAAAAAGGACTGCGTATAGAAGCTACAGTATCTCATCTGATGTATTTAATGTCCCTAATTTACATGCTGACAACTTTTGCATTTCTAAACAGTGTTATCATTCATCTTCCTGATGATTAATCAGCACAAGCTTCAAACACTGTTTATCACACTTTGATGCAGCAATCAAACGAGAAAGGCAAGGTGTTACAGGGGTGGCTTTTTTCCCAAAAATCTTACAGGATTTACAAAAAGATGCATATTTTTTTCTAACACCATTCTTAGAATTATTCACTCATTCACAGTCAGTCATTGTATAAAAACATCATTCAGAAACAGGCTTTAAAATACACCCACCTCGGTTGCATAGTATACAGAAAAATAGGCGAGAGTCAAGGCACTGGATTTTTTTAATGAGAATGTGAACTGAGTCAGAAGTACAACTTTTCTGAGGAAGAAAGATGCACTTCTTAAAAAAACCTAAAATAATAATAAAAAAAAATCACCTGAAGCTAATGAATTTCTTTTAGGTCTACTGTCAAGTTTCCCTTTTACAGATCAATTATCTTTTGAGGTGTATTGCCATACACATGATGCTTGCACTACAATCAAACAAATCCTACTGCAATTAGAAGATTTACTCCGCAGTATTTGCACGTGGACACTGACAAAAATGAGTTACACAAAGTACTCCCAGGGACTGACGTTGGTTTCGTCTGTCATGGCCCATCCCTGGAACAACTGTGGACCTGATTCGTTATTTCCAATTTCTGCTTGTATAATTGAGAATCAGAATACAGCCTTATACTTTTAAGATCTTTTCTTCTGGAAGAGGAGCTTGGGTTCTGTTCACCATAAGAGTTAAAACAGCAGGCTATGGAGGGATTAGCAGGTATTGACTGTATCTATCATCTTGTTGATTTTCAAACAAAATTTGGTAATTTAGTCATTTGGTTATCTTGTATACTGATTTTTTTTTTTTTCTTTAAAAATGTGCTCCAGTGAATTCATTGAGCCTGGTCCATTAAAGAGCAACAGGGAACTCTAAACAATAGGTGCTTGTTTTACAGCTACTTGCAAATGCTTCGAAAGCACTAAATTGCCTTTTATACTCAACAGTCTAATAACAAGGACTGATTTCCTCCCTTTTTTTTCCCCCCCAATTGATTTGATGGTTCACTTGAGCTTTAAAAACACATTACATAAATCTTTGCAGCTATTACAGAAGTCTTTTGTCAAGTTTAATTTGGTATTTTGTTGGATTTTTTTTCCACAGTGTAATCATTCACCCTTAAACTCACTGTACCACACATACCCAGATCCTGCTTGACTCTGGGTCCACAGGAATAATAAGTCCTAGAGGTTTATTTTGTACGGGGAGGGACCTAAATCCTTCCAAAGGCAGTTTGTCATGGAAAGCTCCTGGTTCAGAGGTATATCAGAAAAAAACATTGAGCACTCCCAGAGGCATTGCCGAAGGTCACAGCCGGAAGAGGAAAGGACACTTTGCAGGATCGGACCCTTACAGCCCTGTTTCAGACAAGCTTATTTCACAGTAGAAATGTAATAATGTAAAAAGAACACGTCTCTAGTGACCCACCATGGCATCCCTCCCTCCCTCCCAGTGTGTAAAACCAAGGACCGTGACAATGAGATGATTTAACAATTAAGTGAAATTAATCTTCTGAGCTAACAGACAGTGGTGGTGGCGGCTTTCCTGCCAGCCCTGCGTTGAACATCACCCCAAGGTGGATCCGTGGCTGTGCTGGAGTGAACGAGTAGGGTCAAAATCAGGTTTTTTTCAGGGATTTAATATATCTGCCATGTTGATGTTTTCAGGATTACATCATCCATTTGACTTAACTTTCAGAGGCATTACCTCTGACAACCGCTCCATCCTCTCCTGCTATTTAATTTTACAGTTACAGCTTGATTTGGGCTTGATAACCCATGGTGGAAATATTAGCTAGGATTAACTGAGAGGGTGGGAAATCCATCAGTGTAGACCTCTCTCCCTGCTGCAGAATAAAGGAGGATGCGCTGCTCACCGGGCAGAGGTGTAGAGGGCCAGAGCTGGTAGAAAAGCGGTTAAGTGTTGAAAACCTTCAGAAACGCACGTGGGTACAAAAACCCCAAACCTGAGCAGATGCTATTAACTCCACCAGGAAAAGCAGAGGGGCTGTTAAATGCCGGGCTTCCTCATTCTCCTTTCTCCTGACCCCTGCGTGTCCAGATGCTGTTTCACTTTCCTCCTGTTTTTGAAGTGGAGGATTTCTATCGCTCTCCCCTTTCCCAGCCCTCCCTCCCGCTGTGGTCCTTGAGGAAAGCCTGACCCTAGAGGCGTGCGGGGCCAGGGCTTGCTTTGGGGGGAAATGAAGAAGGAAAGGCTGAGAGAAGGAGATGCTCTCACTGCTCTCCTGCCGATCCACCTCTCGGCATGACGATCGCTCAGCAAAGCGCTTGGCTCTTTGAAGAACAGGTCAGTAGAGATGGGGCTTGGCTGGCACTGTAAGGAGAAGGTGGGGCTCTGCTGGTGATGGAGGTGGAGTGAATCAGAACGAACCCAGTTAAATGCACAGAGATCTATCTCCATGCCTGAGCCTCCCGGTTAAAGATGCTGGGCTAAGATGCGTTTGATGCTCCGAGATCTCCATGTGTACCCACCAGAAAATTTTGCAGATAGGCAGCTGGGATTCTGCTCTCATTGCCAGTGCTGTAAATCTAAAGTAGCAACACCAACTTTCTGGGCTGTGTTTAGAGCAGCACAAAACCTGGCTTCACGTTATAACCGCTGTAAAAGCAGGGCGGGTCAGACTCACGCCTGGTGGAGCACGATGGAGGAGTGGGGGACAGCAGTCTATTAATGAAGCTATTATTTGATGAAGAACTTAAAAAAAAAAAAAAAGAGAAGGATGGAGTTGCTGGTGACACTGACCGACATTGTTTGGGGCTCACAGTAAGGAGATCTGCTGGGCAAACAGGGAGAGCAGAGCTAGCGCCAGGGCACAGCTGCCGCGCAGGGGGAGCGGTGCCAAGGGGGCCGTGTTTCGGAGCATGCACTCCACCCTGGACCAGGAGCCATTGTTGGGCAGCGGCTGTATTCCTGCCAGGCTGCACATGATGTTGTAAACATCCACGGATCTGATGGGAGGCGCTCGGAAGTTGGATCGGAAATCTGCAGGGAAAACAGGCAAAGAGAGGAGTTGGCGTCGTACGGCTTGGGGCTCAGCTCCTGAAACACAGGGTGCTGTGGGGCAACATAGCTCAGCAAAAACACTTTACGTGTTTTAATTCATTGCTTTTACTTGTAGTCCATTTTTTGTCTAAAAACTAAAAAAGAAAAATTAATTAAATTATTAAGTGCAGGAGCTACTTTACTGTGTGTGCTTGGTAGACTTAATAGCCTGAAATAATTGTATTGCACATTCTGCTTTGCTTTCGCTCCTGCCTGCAGCCGCAGCCTGGTGCTCAGCAGTGTTTTCCGCTGAGGAAGTGGAAATGAGGGGTTTCGTGTCTGCCCAGCAGCCAGGTGGGCGAGCTATGCTGCCCTTCTAAAGAAAGTGCTCTGCGCTAGGGAGTCTGAATCCACCAGCAAATGGAGAATTCATGTGTTTCAAATAGAATTAAAAATTTAGGCCAGTCTTGGAAAATAGGGCAAAGTGGTAGAGGTACTGTGCTGGGACACTGGAGAGGGGCTCACCAAATCCCTTCATGTCTCTCTGCCCTGTTTCTCCAGCTATAAAACAGATAATAGAGCTAGAAACCTTTCCAGCATCCAGCCATAGTGAGGAAATCCTGCCATCTATTTGTAATTTTGGGGCGCCGCAGAGTGCCGCATCAGGCTCCTGACATGCCAGGGCTGCAGGGATGCTGCGGCAGGGCCCCTGGGGCTGCGGGGGGAGCGGGACACCGGGCATGGTGGCATTGTACCTGGCCCGTACGCGACAAAGAAGGCTCTCATGTCCATGAGCTCGTTGTCGTAGCCGTGCCAGCCGTTCTGCCAGGCCTCCTTCCTCCTCGTCCCGTTCTCCCAGAAGGGCAGCTTGTCCCTGCTCTGGGTGACAACACAGAGTGTGGTTAGTGCCTGCCTGCCGAGCCGTGTGGGGTGCCGCGCTGTGCCTCCGG